ATGCTTTCTATCTGGTATCTTTTACAATATATAGCTTTAATGTATGTTAATTCTTTTCGTTTTGTTCTTAAATTTTATTTGTATATATACATATATTAAGTTATTTAATTGTTTTGTTTTAACAAAATTTTAAGTATTTTCTACACAGTTCACCAAAAAATTTTTAATGGCTCAAATTATTCGCGAGAAATATTGAAATAAAATCATAAAAACATGTAGTTATATATGAAAACAGAATATCGTTTAGGAGGATAGTAGTGAAACCTATTCGCACTTACAGTACTATTTGCTTTATAAGTAATCATGTATACGTTTCGTTCCGAACCTTGTAAACGGCCTTCAAACAGCTGAGGCAGTAACTGGCTATATCATTCATCTCTTTTGAAAGTAAGTATATCTGGGTTACACTTTTTTATTTAGGATCATACAGTTCCAATCCATTCCGTTAAAGCGCTTAGCAGATGGTTCTAGTATTATTTAGTTTGTGAATAAACATAAATTCTGTTGTTGCCTGTTACACTAACCTTTCTGTATAAAATATAGTCCGGTAGTATTAATATAACTTTTCGCTCTTATAAGATATAAAAGTCATTTAAAATATGAATTTTCAATTGAAAAAATCTCTATATCAAAACGTAACCACGTGCTTAATTCTCACTGGCTTGGCGATCTTGGCAGCACCGTGCGTATGAGTAACATTATGAATTCATATGGTACATTCCATGCATTTTAAATGTTACGTATAACGACACAGCATGCTAAGGGGCATTTGCAGCTGAAATTAAGCTATCTGCGTATGTATTTGTCTGGCATGAAAAACATTTCTTAAGTAGATTTAGTGGGCACTGATTGTAAGCAATAATTTATGCCAATGTTTACGTGGATCATAACATAAAAGGTAATGCACAAGTTGACAGTGCAGAAATATTGTCATTATGCACTCTGATTTTATCCAAACTGTCATGAAGGGTTGGAAAGCTGTGCATGTGAACAACGCGTTGACTTAAGAGCTCAGTGAAATGGGGAAGAACTGCCTGTAAAGGTAATTAAATGTATGTAATGATATATGAAAGTGTAGTTAATTCAAAGCGTCGAAACTCTGTGCAGCTTACTTAAAGTTGTGAAGTTAGGACACAACAATGTTTAATATAAAGTTATTAATAAAGCAAAGTTTTTAGGATTTCTATATATGTACAACCAATTGTCGTAAGAATAATGCAACGCAAGGGAATCGATTCTCTCTGGCTTCAAATTTTCGATGCATTAAAATTCGTAATAGCCATTCGGCATCTTAATTACAATTAAATAACAATTTATTTAAAGATAAGACTCGACAAAACATAGCAAAACATGCCATATCATTACATGAGCTTCGAACTGCCTAAATAATATAATGCTATGCGTAGTATAATATGTTTCCATTGTTTGAATTGTATGAAAACGACCGCTTGCTGAGAAATAAGGCTTATTTGATTGGAAGACCTGCTTCTGTGACTTTAACGATCTCAATGTTATTTGTAGAGTCGAATGATTTGAATATTGCGGCCTAGCAAACAGGCCTGCTCACGAGCATTTTTTTTTTAGTATAGATTTAAACTATTAAACTTGAAGTTTTTTCACACCTAACTGCACGGTCACATCAATTCGCGTTACATCAATTTTCAGAAAAAAACACGCTTCTAAGCAACTCGACCTGTTGAACAGGAGTTAGCAAAACTCTACAAAGTATTGCTTTCTCTTTGACATCTAGTAAACTTTCAAACTTCAGTTTAAATGTGTTCGTGTGAAAGCGTAGAATAACGAAGATTACAACAATACACCGTAAATGTTATCATAAACAAATAAATACGCTACCTCATACTGGAAAATCGTGAGAATCCGCTTAAGTAGGTGGTTAAGCAGAATACAAATCAAGAGTTGCCAGAGCAACAATTTTTATTTTCTAAAATAAAGAATCATAAAACCGTAAACTAGTTATATTTACAAGGCAAAAAAAACAACACATTTAAGGGTTAACCCTTGCTTAATAATTTAATTTAATATTAAATATTTATTTGCATTTGTTTATAGAGATATTCTTAGCCATAAAAAACACAATCGATTCAACTAGAGACCATGTATGAATCTAATTAGTAAACTTTATTTACATTTATGTTATGGTCGATGGTAATTGAACAAAAAAAAGTAATATACTGCCGATCAGGCGATTTGTTCCTAACTTGGAATATTCAAATATTTTGAAATCTGCAATGCGGTTATATATATGTGTAAATTTGTAAGCCGATATGCAATAAGTCTATATATCTTGACGCAAAACGAAACGGCACATACTAACAGAGCCTGCAGCGCTGTTTACGTTTGAAGTGCGTGCTGGTTTTACCTCAGTTAGATAAATGATAACATTAACAGAGGACAACTAACTGACATAAAAAGCTCTCGAGAGCATTTAAAACACAATGGCGGCAACTTATACGTCAATGAACAAATAAATATTGTATACATAAGCCGACAAGTGACATGCATGGGAAATGTCATTGTAAATATAAAAACGTAGAAGAAAATTACAAAAAAAATATATAACATCCTGCGCACAAGGATCATTATGCCTTTCCAGCAGCATAAAACTGGTCTGACGACTGAATTCAAATCTATTTCTAAATGCAAATTATGTTTATGATTAAATGTAATAAATTTTCATATAATTTTTGGTACTAAAAAGTAATAGATTAAACAAGCACTGAAAATCACCCAAAAAAATAGCATGACGGGAAAGTCAAAATTAGAAGCAGCCTCTTTGATGATAGCTGAGGACTTCGGCATGTCCTGTCCGTTTGAAACTCGGCAAAGTACAGAAATGCTGCTCCCATAAGGCTGTTGAAATGTGTGTGTAATTGAAATCGTCGATAATGTGTCTCGTAATTTGCACAGAAAAACTAAAGTAGATTATGACAGTTAGTGGCGCAAGCGACGTCAATTGTCAGCGTTAACAGGGCTCCACAACGAATGGGTAGCTGCAGTCAGCAGCAGTGGCGTCGTAGTGGTAGCAGAGCGAAAAGCACCAACGAGTGGATTTTTTAGTATCAGTGTGTGTTTGGATTGCTTGCGTACACGTAGGTTCTGTCTCTTGGCAACTGCGGTTCGGTTATCTATTTAATTATTCCAAGTGTAAACTGCTGCGGCCTGAAAACGTGGGTGGCCATAACAAACGGTGCGTGTGAATTTGTGCAAAAGATTATTGTATATTTAATTTACACGCATTTAAAGAATTTCTTTAGCAATTAAGGAAGTTCTGAAATGCCTTAAGTAGCGAAGCAGTGCGAATGAAAGCAACAGTTTAAAGATGCAAGCGATTTTCAGCTGTTTGTGTGTATGCGCCACAGCCACAACTGCCTCCTCGCCACTTTGCTGCTCTGCTGCTGTGGCGGGGGTTCTGCTTTATCTGTTATCTGTGGTTTTGTCCAATGGTGGCTTAGAGGCCACACATCCTAGCGGAAAGTCGAAGCGCCACTTCTATTACCACGCTAGCTTACCTCTCTATTGGATAACCTCTCATTAGTTTGAGCTGCGATTGTGTGCGTATTGTATTATATTTCTCACGCGCGCCGTCAGCATAGATTCTGCAAATATTTCAATAAAACAATAAAATTTGTAATATATCAAGGCCAGCTGGCACGCTTGGGTGAGTATGTGCATAGTGTTGGAGGAGTTGAAGGCAGGCAATAAGCGATGGCAGCGAATAGGTGGGGGTTCCGAAATAGCCG